TTTGTGTCATATTTCCCCCAGGGCCCCGCCTGGCCTGGCTCCCTAGTCTGAGTTGTATGCACACTTTCAAAGCCTAAGCACAGTCAGCTGGACTCCTTTGGTTGGAAGGGATAGACACTGAGGGAAGCGAGCTCATGCCACAAAAGGTGAAGCATGGGGGATAGCAGAGCATGTCATTGGCTTGGAGGAGAAATAAAAAACCAAGCCGCGCTGAAACCGGTTTGGCTCAATGGATAGAGCGTCAGCTTGGGGACTGAAAGGTCTCCAGTTCGATTCCGATCAAGGGCATGTACCTTGGTTGCGGGCATATCCCCAGTAGGGGGTGTGCAAGAGGCAGCTGATCGATGATTCTCTCTCTCTCGTCAATGTTTCTAACTCTATCTCTCTCCCTTCCTCTCTGTACAAAAATCAATAAAATATATTAAAAAAAACACACACACACAAAAAAAAAACAAGCCGAGGAAGGGGCCGAGGACCCTGCAGCCTGAGTGCTGCCCAGGACTATTGTGCTGTTTCTCTTCATGTTCCAATTCTGTCCCTCCTCCTGGTTGTAGCTCAGTGTTTACTATTTGGCAAAAATACACCATCACTGCCAACCCGTAAAAATGAGCGGCCTGTAGACATGCTTTGTTTGCTCACAGTGCTTTTGGAAATTGATTTGGTCATTAGCTTTTAAAAGGGAAGATTTCTCATAAAAATAAAAATTCCTGCCATCTCTGAAAAAGCAGGAGTCTGTCTGGTGCTGGCGAATCTCAGCAACGAGCTGGCGCCCAGGAGCTGCCGGTCCTCTCGGGGCGCTGTGCTGTCCGGCTGCCGGCTGCCTTCTCCGGGGCTCCCTGTCCCCGCTGAGCCTCCGTGGGCCTGGCCACTCAGTATGGTGCCCACACCTGACTTGGTCCAGTGCCCCCTCGGGACCACTCAGTTTTTCCCAAACTAACCTGACACGTCTTATCACCCTCCCCTTCACCTCTCACCTCTCACCTCTCACCTCTCACCTCTCACCTCTCACCTCTCACCTCTCACCTCTCACCTCTCACCTCTCCTGAGATAACCATGAAGGTGGCCGAAGGGAGCAGCTTCTAGAAGAGGGATGCTAGGCAGACAGTCTCTTAAATTTCCTATTTGGAAAGAATTGTGTTCTCTAGTGAAATCTTTTCTTAAACTCATTTTTACCAGATGTACTTTTGCCCAAATGGCCTAATACTGCTTTTAATGTGTTATTACTGTAATTAGGCCTCTACTTTTTTATTTTGGAGGAGAGTTGGGAGCATTTTAGAGAAGCTTTAGTGATTTATGGCAAAAAATAAAAATAGCGTATGAAAATATACGCCCGTTGTTTGATAGTGGTAGAAGTGTGGTTTGACAGCACTCAGTCTGAGGATTTGGAATTTTGTTGTAGATACTTCTTTACATAAAATGGAAGATAATCAGATAAAGACACTACAAAGAAAGAAAATCATAGGCTAATATCCCTCATGAACACAGATGCTAAAATCCTCAACAAAATAATAGCAAATCGGACCCAGCAATATATTAAAAAGATCATACACCATGATCACGTGGGACTTATTCTGGGGATGCAAGGCTGGTACAATATTCATAAATCAATAAATGTCATACATTTTCAGATTCTCATTTGATTATCGTGATGACTCTGTGATACAAGGTGGCATTTGGACTCTACCTACCAACTCATTTTCTCCCAGTTTGTTAAACAAGAGGCTACTGATTAGGTTAGCCTGAGCCTAAGGTTCCCTTAAGACCAGCCGTTCCTGCTGACACTCTGCTTCGTGGTTTATATACTGTGATTTGCTTTCAGAATTTACTTCTCAACTGAACATGTGTTCTGGTATTTTTAATTAATGCTTAATGGTAGAGAGCATTATCTATTAGTAACGTATCATAGAACATTACCTACAAAGCATTTCCCAGCTCCCTGTGGAGCCATTCTTAGTTGGGAGTGCCTTGCTTCCCAGTATGTGTTTATTCTTATCCACCCAACGCCTAAAGTTAAGTTGGGCTAGAGGACCCACCTTGCAATGGCCCCTCACTTTTTAAGGTTCAAGCCTTTCCTGGTTCTCTTTTCCCAGAGTTCCTTGTGCTTCACTATGCCTCGTGCTGTCTTTATCATTTATCATTGCGAGGAATTGTATTAAAATGTTTCCTCAGGAGAGTGTTTTCTAAGGGCACAGACCCACATGTCGCACTTCAGTATTTTGGGGACAGAAATGAATCAAGCTACGGAGCTTCTGTGTTGATGAGTAGAGCACGTCCAAGGGCGTCTGTTGGTGTGTTTCTGGATGCCCCTGTAGAAGACATGTCTGACTCTGGGAGCTATGCCAGAACTGGTCTTACGGGCCCCGGTCTGTGTACAGCTTTTAAGAACCCAAACAGTCCATTGGAGAGGTCAGGAAGTTCGCCAGCCCTTCAGAGAGAGTTCTGAATTTTTTAGCAAAGGCAGTGGGGATTAGAATTGCTTTGCACACAGGGGTGTGTATGCTGAAGTTAGGGATGAAGAGTACTAGTCTATAACTTACATGAAATGCGTAGAATTTAAGACTGATGGGTAAACAGAGGGATGCCAGATGGCTGGGTGTGTGATAAAGGAAATGGAGTGAAATGTGAGTTGTAGCACCCAGGCGGTGGGAACATGGATTCACTGTGCAGCTCCGTCAACTTTTCTTAAAGTTTGAAACTTTTCATAATAAAATGTTGGGGAGAAGGATACTTGCATTATTTTTAAGAACACATATATTGGCTAGGCATATCTATAATAAACAAATCATCAACATGGACTTTCTGAGCCTTAGTTATTTTTCTTCCTGGTATTTCTTTGCCTCTCTTTAGTCAAATCTCAGTTCTTACGTTGCTCCTTTAAAATTTCCCTGACCTAGCCAAAGCCGGTTTGGCTCAGCGGTAGAGCGTCGGCCTGTGGACTGAAAGGTCCTAGGTTCGATTCCAGTCAAGGGCATGTACATTGGTTGCGGCAAGAGGCAGCTGGTCGATGTTTCTCTCTCATCGACGTTTCTAGCTCTCTATCTCTCTCTTCCTCTCTGTAAAAAAATCAATAAAATATATTAAAAAAAATTTCCTTGACCTTCAGGCTTACGTAGATGTTTCTCCTTTGTTCCCAGAGCACGCCTCGCACACAGCCGTGGGATTTGGTATCCGGTGTTCATTTGCTAATCTGCCTGAACCACTCAACTTTGAGTTTATGGAATACAAAGACTGTTTCTGGAATGTTTTCGGTACAAGTAAAAAGGAAAACAATAAAATTAGTAGACTAACAGTAGTTTAAACAAATGAGTTTATTACCTCCAATAACAGGAGTGGGGGCAGCCGTCCAGTCCTGGACCGGATCAGGGTGGGCGGGCTGGCGCTCTCTCTCCTGTTTCCCCCATCATGCCAGGGTCCTGCAGCAGTGTGTGGGTTGGAAATAGGCACCATGGTCATTCAGTTTCTGAGCTTTCAGCCGACACCTGTGAGTTTGTTGAAAAGTCTTCAGTTCGTTTATTATGGTTTCTTCTAGAAAAATTGATTAAAAAAAAAATAGCTCAGAATTTTATAAAAAGCCCCCCACCTGGGGAATCATTTCTCCATTTTCATACAGCCATGGGAATTGATAGCTGCAGGGTTGCTTCAGAGAAACTGAGTGACAGCTCACCGGTCTGGAGGCTCCAGCCTCCGCCGCCAGCCTCAGCTCCGTGGCCAGAAGCAGTTTCTCCTCCTAAACCAAGGCCTTTGGGGAGGCCTGCTCCTTATCCCACTTACTCTATTTCCGTCACAGCTCAAATGTGCTTAGTTACCTAGTTAATTGCTTAAGACACTTATTAAAAAGTACATAGTTAGAAAAGGGGGCTGGAAACGGGGGGAGTAGAGGCAGATAAATAGGGTGTGGGGTGGGTCCCATTGAAGGGGGAGGGTCAGGCATGACCCACTCAGACCCGCCCAGATCACAGCGCTGATTTCTGCGGTGATGGCCATCCTTAATCACTGAGAAAAGGTTTAAGTTCTGTTTCTCTCTCTGTCTCCCCCCCGCCTCCACTCACCCTATCACTCTCTAAAAAGCAATGGAAAAAATATTCTCAGGTGAGGATTTAAAAAGAAGTTAGATAGGAAGGAAACCAGCCCTTATTAAGTCTCTACTGTGTACTAGGCTCTGTGCTTGGTTTGTCACATGTGTTATCTTATTTTAATTCTCAGAAAAGCCCAGCACCCTAGGTGGTGCTTATTGGTTTCCGCAGGTAAGAAAATGGCATAACTAGTTCTAGGCCACACAGCTCACAAATGGCAGAGCCAGACTTGGGCCCAGGCCCTTTTCCTTCCTCTGTGCACATGGGAAATAGACTATCCATACAAATTATTAAAGTAAAAGTAGATACTCGGGTTAGAGTAAGTTCCAGGTAGTATCTAGTAAATGTACTTACTCAGGACACCTTATCCCCACAGTTCCAGGGGCGCTCACTTTCTCACACACTGGTGAAGCTGAACTGATTTTGACTAATCAGATTGTTATTTTTAGAAAAGCTTAACTCAGTTCATCCCTTTGAACATCCTTGAAGTTAATTTAGTTCCCCTTCATGAGGGTCCTTATAGAAAAACACATGTACTTGCCCTTTTCGGTGACCCCGAGTGTCAGTCTGAGGGCTGTGAGGGGGGTGTGATGGGGGTGGAGTGAGGACACAGAGCGGGTCCCCAGGGCTGGCGTTCTCTGCGGCTCCAGGTGACTTGGGGTGGGGCGGGCCCGGGCTCGGGGCATTCCCGCTGGTGGGGCAGTGCTGAGGGTGTGCTGACCCCGCCGTCCCCCTAACAGGCCTGTCCCCGTTCTCTCTTGACATGGCCGCCCTGGCTGCCCTGTGGTGAAGGACCCCGAGGCTGGGGCTTTCTCGGCCCGGGGCCTGGAAGGTTATTCCGATGCCTGGGTTCGGCATTCCTGGAGCGGAGGGATCGCACCGGGTATAAACCAAACTGCCTCTCACATCTGTCTTCCTCATTGGCAGCTCCTCAGCCTGTCGCAACCGCAGCAAACCAGCAGGATGGCTGCAAACAAGAGTAAGAGCCAGAGCTCCCTGGCCCTGCACAAGGTGATCATGGTCGGCAGTGGAGGGGTCGGCAAGTCGGCCCTGACGCTTCAGTTCATGTACGATGAGGTAAGCCCTCCTGCTCCTGCCTGCCGTCAGGTCCCTCCCCCGCCTGCGTGTGCGTCCACCTGCGTGCAGGGAGAGTCATGGCCAGCTCCTGGTGAGGTGCTTTCCAATAGCTTCATACGGGTCTAACAGCAAGTGCCTTGGATTATATATAATCTAGTCTTTCCATAGCCTGGTTGATCCAAATTTCTTTCTTTCTTTCTTTTTTTTTTTTTAATATATTTTTTATTGATTTTTCACAGAGACGAAGAGAGAGGGATAGAGAGTTAGAAACATCGATGAGAGAATCATCGATCAGCTGCCTCTTGCACACCCCCTACCAGGGATGTGCCCGCAACCACGGTACATGCCCTTGACTGGAATTGAACCCGGGACCCTTCAGTCCGCAGGCCAACGCTCTATCCACTGAGCCAAACCGGTCCCAGCCAAATTTCTTTTTTATTAATAGCTTAGAAAGGTTTTTTTCAGCTCCTCAACTACTCAACATTACCGTAATGGAACTTCTAGGACAATTATCAGATTTAGGATACCTCTACTGAGCTTTCCTGTAAGGTAGGGAAGAACTTTGCAGACTAATTTCTAGCTCCGTGTTTCCACCCTTGTTTCTCCTCCTCCACCCACTCAGTGCCAGGTGTCCTGGGACATGCCCACACCAACACACACCCCGGGGGCTGCACACAGGTCCCGGTGCCCGGTGAGTCAGCACCGGGGGCGGGGACTGTTCCTGGAAGCCATTCCCACACTGGACGGCTGGTGTAACCACCACAGGCCAAAGCGACTCCAAACCACATAAACACACACCACCAACCCCAACTAAACTGCCTTAATTCCTCTCCCCCAGCGAGGTCCCAGGAATGGCCATGGTCACTCCCACCACCCAGCAGCAGGGGAGGCTGGACAGATGGACAGTCTAGTGAAAAGGGTGATGATCTTAATGGGTGGTGGTTCCGACAGCTTTCAGTACATATGTGTACAGTGTTCTGTACTGTGTGTGCCGTGTGAAATGTGATCACATGAGAGGTCCCTGGGTTGAGCTCTAATCCTAACACTGCCTGTGGGAGCAGTAACGGCCACCGAGCAGGGGCATTTGTGGCCACAGGAACCAAGACTGTGCTGTCCCGCTCGACTCAGCATCACCCACCTCAAGGGATGGAAATCTGCTGCCTATTACGTGAGAAAAAATTACGTCTTATGACAGCTTAGCTGTCCCTTTCTTCAGCTCCCAAAACCAACTTCAGGAAGCTAAGTATTACACCCGTTCTTCAAAAATCCCTGGACAGAGGTCTCTCCCCCACTCTTGCTTCTGGCAGAAAGACGGCTCAAAGTCTGATTTACAAATATTTAATTCCATCTGTTGGTCTTTTCATTTCCTTGATGGCAACATTGAAAGCATGAAACTTAAATTTTGATGAAGTACTGTTTATTTTTTCTTTGGATGCATATGCTTTTGCATTCATGTCTAAGAATGCATTGGTGATAAAGATTCACTCCTATGTTTTCTTCTAAGAGTTTATAGTTTTAACTTTTACATCAGCTCTTTGGTCCATTTTGAGTTAATTTTTGTATGTGATATGAAGTAGACGGTCCAAATTTATTATTTTGCATGTGGATATTCACTATACCACCTCCAGTTCAATTTTAATAGTACATTGCTGTCGTTAATTTACTTTTTTCTGAACAGCTTGAATTTTAGCATCATTTGTTAACTTATTCAATGTGCAATACAATATAAAGAAAATAGCTTTGAAACGTTAATATCATTATTACTAAGTATTACAAGCATGAGGGAAGTTTCTTCACCATTTCTTTGACACTTTTTGTCCTTAGTCTCTTAGTGAGATGCATTCTGTTAAAACATTCTATTCTAAAGTCTCTTGAATTCTTTCTCTTTGTGCCTACATTACCCATGTAATAATCATTTAGGCTCATTTAGCTTCAGTTTTTCTATTTAACAGCTTTAAAATTTGTTTTGTTTGGCAGACATATACACCTATACACACACACACACACTAATATATATATATGTATATATATATATATATATATATGTATATTATATAGGCCTTATATTTTATTGTCCCTATTTTTCTTATGTGAAGGCACACTGTTATATTCTGGATAACTTTACATATTGGTGCATAGTTATCGTCCTCGGTTTTTATAGCTGCACAGTCTTCCATTTTGTGGCTCCCCATTTACTATCACACACAGGCTTCAGTGAGGAGCCTGTGTGTTCCTGTGCAGGCGCTTCTGTAGGTGAGGCTGCTGGGAGCAGGTCGGTAGGACAGAGGACGAGGGCTTCTCCAGCTCCGTCAGATCCTGCTGTGCTCACCTCCTTCCGGGCTGGACTGTCCCGTTTCCGTTGGCAGTGTCCTAGGGCGCCTCCTCCCCAGGTCCTTTCTCCCTAGACCCTCCTCCCCGGGGCCCTGCCTTCCCCGGGCCCACCTCCCCGGGGTGCTTCTCCCTAAAGCCCCTCCTCCCCGGGTGTGTTGTCAGACTGGGCAAGTTTGGGGTGCAGGTTGGTAGGTGAAAATGGTATTTTATTGTAGATATAATGTTTGTTTTCTTTACTAGTGAGGAAGAACATTTTTCACAGGTTTAACACCACATGCATTTACTTTGCTGTGAATTGTTTATGTCCGTGGCCACTTTTCCCCATTGGATTGTTGATCTTTTTGTGCGGCCTGTTTGTATATAGCTCCTTGTGATATGGCTTCAAATATTCTTTCCTTGTTTGTCATTTGTCTTTGTTTATAGTGTGCTATGACAAACAGATTTCACATAGTCCCATTTATCAATTTTTTTTTTACCTGGCTTCTGGATTTTGAGTCGTAGTTATAAAAATGGGCTTTCCTACTTAAACTTAATAAGCGGATTTCGCCCATGTTTCTTTAGTACTCAGCTTTATTTTTTACATTTAATCGTGGACGCATTTGGAGTTTGTTAAGTTGTGTAGCTATTTAAGCCTCTTGATACTTCTAGTCAAATTACTTTTCAGATGAGATTTTTACTTCTGTTGATTATGAATAGGAGCTCCTGTTTCTCACCTTTTTTTTTTTTTTTTTTTTTTTAAAGAAGTGCTTTTACTGATTTTTAGAGAGAGGACGAGATCGAGCACGCAACCCGGGCATGTGCCCTGTCTGGGAATCAGACTGGTGACTTGTTCCTGGGTGGACGCTCAGACAGAGCCACTCCAGCGGCTGCTCTCCCCTCCGGCGTTCGCATGATAAGTTAACACTGACGCGATGCTGCCCAGTGCTCTGCTCTGTGCTTGGCTCCCTCATGTGTAAGATGGGAATTTCCGCTCTTGTTGTTTAAAAACAAAGTAAAATAAAAAATGGTAGAACTGAACAATAAAGAAGTTACCTTTAGTTTATAGTGTCTTACACTTAGTGTAATCGTTATAGTAATACCCAGTAACACGCAGTTGCTTACAGGTAAAGCACTCGTGCGCTGACATTTATGTTCTGGCAGATTTTGTTTCCCTGCAGCCTTTGCTAATGGCTGCCACTGTTTGTCTCCGCAGTTTGTGGAAGACTACGAGCCCACCAAGGCGGACAGCTACAGGAAGAAGGTGGTTCTCGATGGAGAAGAAGTGCAGATCGACATCCTGGACACGGCGGGGCAGGAGGACTACGCGGCCATCCGCGACAACTACTTCCGGAGCGGCGAGGGCTTCCTCCTCGTGTTCTCCATCACGGAGCACGAGTCCTTCACGGCCACGGCCGAGTTCAGGTCGGTGCCTTCCTTCCCGGGTCCTGGCGAGGAGGGGCAGTGGAGGGCCGAGCTTGTAACGAGGAAGAATGTCTCTCAGAATTCCCTGGCGCTCAGAGTCTTGGCACATTAGTGTCCGCTGTTTGTTATAATCTCTTTGGACTTCTCCGTTTTATAATAATTTCTAAATATCGGTTATCTTCAGAATCTGTTGTCCCCGAGAGGGACAAAGCCACTCCATACATTCAATAGCCTGCCGTTTGCTTTCGTATAAATCCTGAGAGACAGTGCTTGATAAGAGTTAAATATCTTTTTTGTAATTTTGCTAGAAAAGTAATAGGTTTGATCTGTTTTGAGGTTTATGAATATGGTCAGCAGAGTGAAGGAGGTGAGGCAGAGTGACCGTTAGCTGCCACCAGAAGGCCTTAGCATAGCTGAATAGAAAGAACTGGCTGTGAAAGCAGGCAGACCTGGGCTGGGGTTCCTGCCCCTCCCCAGGTTCATGACTCCGGGCAAGTTTACTCAGCATCGGAGCCGCTGTTTCTTCATCCGAATCGAATTGGTGAAATGACATGGTGCTCAGACAGGGGATTCCTCAGGGCAGGGACTGCAGCTGGCCCCGTGCTGAATCCCAGCCTGCTCTCTGTGGTCCCTGGGGAGCGGAATGTTCCCTGCTGTCATTCCTTTGAAATGTGGGACGATACCTTGTGTTTATTTTGTTATAAGGGAATATGAGCCATTAATCATAATTCATAAGGAATTCCAATGGAAGGGAGTCTTTCTCTTTCCCCATTCCCTTCCCATGGTACACACTGAGTTTTTAACTGTCCTCCTCATAAACATCTGTCGTGATGACTCCTGTAAGAACCAGATCTAGAGTCTGGCAGGAAACTAAAAAAAAAAAGCACAGTAATTTCTTTTCATTCTTTAGCAAGTTTGGTCAGAAATTAAGGTGAACTGAGGAAGATAAATATCCCCCCAAATTTGGAAGGAAGCCGTAAGCCCGGGGGCCTCCGGGTCAGCCGAGAGAGCGGGAGGAATAAGGGAGGCCTCAGAGTGCAAGCCTCAGGCTAAGCATCTTTATCCTCTGACACCGTAGTGTGAGATGGCCTATTACTTTTTAGACTCCCGCGTGCCTTGAGGCTCCTGAATGTGGATGTAGCCATGGGTTCGTGATTGTGTGTGTAGCCACAGAATCCTGTTTCTACGCCTCCTGCAGTAAAACAGGACAGACGCCCACTACCTTCTTTTCTTCCCTTTCCTAAGCCTTTGATTTCCCTTTTCTCTTTGACTTGCCATGAGAGGAAATGCTGGACAGTTGGAATCATCTTCAGAGATTAGAAGATGGTGCCAACCTTGCCACCTCTGTTCTACCTCCCCTGGGTTACCCCTCCGCTGCCACCCCCCCACCCCCACCCCACACACACACTTATACTATTCATTTATTCTCAGAGAGTTAGAGCAGTCTCGTCTCATCTTAGGAGAAGGGTTTTGGTTGTGATTAGAGAAGAGGGAACCTCAGAAGAAAAAGGACAGATGACTCCCTAAAAGAAAAAGGAAGGGGGGCTATTCTCCTGACAAATCCCAGGCTGTCCATGTTCCTTACGTCATTGGATTCCAGCCATTATCTGAGCTGTTGTGGCTACACTCATTCCCTTTACTCTATGCCCGTTAGCAGTTGTAAAGCATAGCATTTCTGTACTTATCTTCCACATTAGAAGACCCAACATAAAATATTATAAAATGATAATATACTCTGTTTTGAAAATTTCCCCTGATATATTCTATAAACTAGAGAAATGGGTTTTGTTACAGGAGACCAGTACTTGGTACCCCCATTTTTGGATTAATATATTTATTAATGCGCTAATTTTACTTGCCTGTGCAAGACTGAGCCAGAAAGCTATCAGTTTTAATTGTTCATAGTTTGTATTGATCACATAGCTTCTAAATGTAGCAGGCTCTTTGACCCCTGTTAAGGTGTGGGGGGTAGCATTTTCAGGCTATCTCTAACTTTTCATCTGTTTCATTTTTCTTAAAGTAATTTGATATCTGGTACTTCAGTTAACTGTATGGAAAAAATTCAAATATTTTTATTATAAAATGTTATCCTATATCACATATGAGTCAATGCAAATCTCCAAGAAGTACATTTTTGAAGGGTCTGATGTATTGGAATGTAGAAGTGTCCCCGCTGGATCAGAACAATGCAAATGGAATATACATATTTTTTTAATATTTGGTTTTGATTAGTAACTTTAGACAGCTGGTTATTTTCAGTGGCAGTAAAATTTAGTGTGCTCTAGGTAGCAGTTCTTTTAGAGAAGATATTTTTGAAGTACTTTTTCATGGGCCTTGGAGTATTTCCTTTTTTTTCTTCACTTTGTGTGGAAAATGAATGCATATTAAATACAATTTCTGCCTAACATAGCTGCCCCCCTTCTGTGGCCTGAACTTCATTGTGTCTGAATGGGCCTGGGGTGGGGTGGGGAAGGCAGGTGCACACACTCGCAGACGTAATACAGCAGAGGTTGCGCAGAGCCAGGCTCTCGGGCTACTAGGGGCTCCTCCGATTTTCTTTATGTTCTTTTCACTGAGGGGGAAATTACTGCTTGTGACCCACTACATCAATTTCATGATCTAATTGACTGCTACGCTTCATATGAAAAACGCTGGATTTCATAGCTTTTATTCTCACAGGGAAGTCATGCCATCTTTTTTTCAGGGGAATTATTAAACATTTTATGTATGAAGATACTTCCTTTAGCATGTTTTTATCCTAGAGATCCCTATGTTTTTTTCTTCTTTTTTACCGAAGCATAAATTGGGGAGCCTATTGATATGCAGAATCCCGGGCTCCCATGAAGGTTCTTAACTTCTGTAGGGCAACTGTGGGGCCCAGGAACCTGCATCTGCATGAGCACCCAGGCCGCTGGGAGAGCCAGACTGAGCCCTGGGCCAGGCTGGCAGGCTGGGCGAGGGAATGCGTCTTCGGCACCTGGCCAGGAATGCCATTTCTTCTTCTGCCTTTGGAAATGTCTCATCTGCGCGGCTCTGTTTCTGATGTGATGCAGGGAGCAGATCCTCCGTGTGAAGGCCGAGGAGGATAAAATCCCGTTGCTCGTGGTGGGGAACAAGTCGGACTTGGAGGAGCGGCGGCAGGTGCCGGTGGAGGAGGCGAGGAGCAAGGCGGAGGCGTGGGGCGTGCAGTACGTGGAGACCTCGGCCAAGACACGGGCCAACGTGGACAAGGTGGGCGCTCTCCCAGGCTCTTGGAAACAGACTGAGAAACAGCAGAATCCAGATGTCTCATCTGTTAGGTTTTAAGGGGACCATTTGTGGGAACCGGGGGCTTTTCCAGGTCGATGTTGTAATGAGACGCATTGGGAGGGTTTGACGTGGGTTTAACCCAGTGCAGAGTCCTGTCACTCTGTCATGAGCCTCGTGAGAGGGCTTGGCGAGGGCTCCGCCCCCGAAGGGGCGGGCGGGGAGAGGAGGACATGGTTTGTGAAGATGCTGCAGCTGGCACCAGCGCCGCAGATCCTCGGGTAAGTCACTTCCTTTCCTTTCCTTCAGCGTCCTTCCCTTACAGCGTAGCTCTTGTTATATTAATTAATCTACGGTGAAATGGGCTGCTTCAGCTTTGAGTCATGAGCATAACCCCGGCATTCCGTGAGGACTTCTCTGTAGCTTCCCTGAGCTCTCCCTGCCCAGGGCCTGGTCTCCGGGCACAGCCTGGGGCGTGCCCCTGAGAAACTCATGATTTTGTCCTCATGGAGTTACTGGTTGGATTTACTATCCTTACCATCGCAGGCAGAACCAGGGCCTCTGTCTCTGAACTGAGCTCTGAATAGTGCTTGCCCGCAGGAGTCAGCTCCCCAGGGATTTCTTTTCTCTCCCTTCCCGTCAGCATACTTTTCTGAGACCAAGGAAAGGCTGATATTGATCATTATGAACAGTGACAATTTGAAAATCCACCTACCAGTGACTGCTGTCGATAGGCCTTTAAAAAATAGACGCTCAACGTGGTTGTTACAGAGCTAAGGGAGACAGCTGCCGACGTGCTCCTTGTGCCCTCACCTCTGCCCGCTCCTGGTTCTGCTCCTGGTTCTGCTCCTGGTTCTCCTTCTGGTTCCGCTCCTGGTTCCGCTCCTGGTTTCAGTCCTGGTTCCGCTCCTGGTTCTCCTCCTGGTTCCGCTACTGGTTCTGGTTCCGCTCCTGGTTCTCCTCCTGGTTCCGTTCCTGGTTCCCCTCTTGGTTCCACTCCTGGTTCTCCTCCTGGTTCCGCTCCTGGTTCCGCTCTTGATTCTCCTCCTGGTTCCCCTCCTGGTTCTCCTCATGGTTCCGCTTCTGGTTCTCCTCCTGGTTCCGCTCCTGGTTTCAGTCCTGGTTCCGCTCCTGGTTCTCCTCTTGGTTCCGCTACTGGTTCTGGTTCCGCTCCTGGTTCTCCTCCTGGTTCCGCTCCTGGTTCCCCTCTTGGTTCCGCTCCTGGTTCTCCTCCTGGTTCCGCTCCTGGTTCCGCTCTTGATTCTCCTCCTGGTTCTCCTCCTGGTTCCCCTCCTGGTTCCCCTCCTGGTTCTCCTCCTGGTTCTCCTCCTGGTTCCGCTACTGGTTCTGGTTCCGCTCCTGGTTCTCCTCCTGGTTCCGCTCCTGGTTCCCCTCTTGGTTCCACTCCTGGTTCTCCTCCTGGTTCCGCTCCTGGTTCCGCTCTTGATTCTCCTCCTGGTTCTCCTCCTGGTTCCCCTCCTGATTCTCCTCATGGGTCCGCTTCTGGTTCTCCTCCTGGTTCCGCTCCTGGTTTCAGTCCTGGTTCCGCTCCTGGTTCTCCTCCTGGTTCCGCTACTGGTTCTGGTTCCGCTCCTGGTTCTCCTCCTGGTTCCGCTCCTGGTTCCCCTCTTGGTTCCGCTCCTGGTTCTCCTCCTGGTTCCGCTCCTGGTTCCCCTCTTGGTTCCGCTCCTGGTTCTCCTCCTGGTTCCCCTCCTGGTTCCGCTCCTGGTTCCGCTCCTGGTTTTCCTCCCGGTTCCCCTCCCGGTTCCCCTCCCGGTTCCCCTCCCGGTTCCGCTCCTGGTTCCGCTCCTGGTTCCACTCCTGGTTCTCCTCCCAGTTCCGCTCCTCGTTCTCCTCCTGGTTCTCCTCCTGGTTTCGCTCCTGGTTCCCCTCCTTGTTCCCCTCCTGGTTCCCCTCCTGGTTCCGCTCCTGGTTCTGCTCCTGGTTCACGCCTGGGAAGCCTCAGCCCAGTGCCCTCTCAGCCACAGTGGGTGTGTCTGCTTGGCCTTACGCTACATCAGCATCCAATCCCCTCCTCCCCCTTCGGCTTCCTCTGTTTCTCTTTGTCCTGGAGATTAACTCTCCTGGACTTCTCTCCTAAGAGGGAGCCATTGGCGAACCAGCGTGGCCGCAGCTTGGCACCAGCCTGGCGGGAGTTCCCCTTGGAGGGCCGTGGGCAGCACCGCACAGAGCCCTTCAGGTGCAGTCTGTCTGCGCGTGCGGTGGGCTCACCGGTCTGCCTCTTTTTCTTTGGTTATTGTCCCAGCTCTGTGCTCTGTGCTCTGCCCAATCACTCTTTCTATAAAATTGTTCCCTAGCTTAGAAGCCGTATAGGAAATCAGACATAAACTTCTTTGTAAGGAACCAGGACGATTTCTCGGCAGGGACTCTGTTGCCATGCAGTTTTTGGATGTGGGGTGGGGGGTGGGAGGAGGAGAGGGCTGTGGCTCAGCGGCTTGTCATGGCCCCTTCCTCCTCGGGACCTGCTTGACCTGCTGAACGAGAAGCACAGAAGCTGCTCACTGCGGCAGGCATTATGTTCCTCGGGAAACAGTTTCCAGGAAGCGAGGTTGTTGGTGAGATCAGCCCAGGAACTGTTTTGTCATTTTTAAGTTGACACCCTCCATTCCCCTCCTCCGCCTTTTGTTAGAACAAAAAGGAAAACCAGTAACGTTTGCAGGCTTCACTGTGCTGTGGGTGGGGTGCTTTCCTGCCGGGGTGCTGACGCCAGCCTGCTCCGGTTTGGGGGAGCCCTCTCCTGTGCCTGAGCTGGTGGAAGGCCCAGGCCCCTCAGAGCGCCCCAGCTCACTTCCTGCTGGGCTGGGAGGAGAAGGCAGCTGTGGTCTGAACGGCCAGAGACAAGCCTGCCCGCTGCCGCTGTGTCTCCTTCCCTATGAAACATGGCAAATGTTTCTTCTTGGGCATATTTGTCTGCTTGGGTGTAGTCAGTACATTGGCACAAGTGCTGGTAGCAGAGGGCAAAACCCAAACTATTGTGACAAACGATAAACTGTATCTAAACAGCATACTGGCATTCAAAGAACGAGTCTCATCTGTTCCTGATAAAGTTCCTTCCCGCTGATGTTCAGCGGAGGGCGGCTCCTCAGATTAGGCATGTGCATGGGGAGGGGGCCGGCCAGCACGTCCCTCCCGCTCCCCACGCTCATATGCGGGAGCTTCTGTTGGTTTATGACACCTTCTCCTCCAACTGTGTTCCTGGCCTGCTGTTGAGCAATGTGAGGACTGTCATGCATGATGACATTCCCACCTTCCTATGGTCATTACAAGAATTAAACAAGAACAGGCACTTACATCATGTTCATTTTCTGGTGGCTGGCCATGCTAGCGAGTCTGATTCCTCCTGTCATTCTCAGGATCTGTGACGTCACCACCTGTAGTAGGTCTGTTCCCTGCTGTTTTATTCCTCATCATCCTGAGAGTGGAAGAGAGGAGGGAGGAGTGGAGAGAGAGAGAGATGACACATTGGTTGATTGCGTCCTGCATGCACCTGGCCCGGGGCCAGGGATTAAACCTTTAACCCAGGTACATGCCCTTGACTGGGACTCGAACTCGATACATCTTCGATGCTTGGACCGATGCTCTGACCACTGAGAAAAAGAGCCAGGGCAGTCAGAATGTGTTTTTAATGTTTTTATGCTTATTTGCTCTAAATGGTTTGTTTTTGACGGCATATAGTTTATAAGAATGAGTATAATTTTGTGCTTGGTCCAATTGCTTCCTAAAATCATTAAATGGCTTTTTCTTCCTGTTCTTTTCATCCTTTCCTCCTCACCCCAGGTGTTCTTTGATCTAATGAGAGAAATCAGAGCAAAGAAGGTGTCTGAGAACAAGGACAAGAATGGCAAGAAAAGCAGCAAGAACAAGAAAAGTTTTAAGGAGAGATGCTGCTTGCTGTGAAGAGCTGTTGCCATGACGGCGGGCGGAGTCAGCTGCCACTGAGGACGTCGCTGAGGGAAGACTGTAGTCCACTGTGTGCTCCCTGCTCACCCGCCCTCTTCATGCAGACTCTTCAACGGGGAGAATACCGGCGAATCAGCCCTGGCAGAAGAAATGAGCCCTTGACTTTGTGGGGACTGGCCACGTGGTCAGGAGGCTTTGCAGTTCCCTCCTCCCTCTGTCCCTCCTTCTCTCTCCCTGCCTCCCTCCCTGGAGTTTAACTAAGTATGTAGTGTGAGAGGTAGGAAATAGTCCAATGTTAATTAAAAAGGAAGAGGACTGTCATAGGTGTCTTATCTGCCCCCCCCCCCCCCAATTTCATAACATAGCGCCTTTTGTTTTGAAATAAAAATGTCTTATTTTATTAGGTTTTGGGAGAAGAGATGGGATAAGACTCCCTCAGCCCTTGTCAGCTTAACAGTAGTACCCCCAAAAATCCAGGAAACTCTAATGATGCTTAAAACCCAGATTTTGGGGGGATATGTTTCTTGGCAATGCCCAGTGGATTTGAAGTATCGCCAACAATTAAACCTGAGTTCGCCCGCAGGGGTCAATGCGGAGCTCCGAACGCCTCTCACAGGGAAAGGGAAGCCGTATTCCTCGCCTTGCGTACTGGCCAGTAACCGTCTGTGCTGGCCGTCCTCCCTGTGGCCTCCTGGGCAGGTAGAGCTTCTTTTTAACGGACTGAGTGAAGAGTCAGGAGTGGGATACTTTATGAATCATGCACTTTTCTCAGACTTTAAGACATTCTTTGGCTAACTCCTCTCCTAATTGCCAGCCCAGGGTTAGGCTCCTTGTCTCCACTGGCGATGAACACATTGTCTTCCAGCTGCTCCCTCTGCACATGGGAGACCCGCAGGGCCCGGGGGCCGGGGCGCCAGAGCACCACTGCCTTCCGGCCCCGGAAGCCAAGCCCCGGCTCCTGCCGCCCCGGCCTGCCGATAATTCTGAATTTAAAGTTGGAATTAGTCGGGAAGGATAAGCCATTACTCTTTTACCTCTGAGAACTGGCTGCTGTTTCTAATTTTTTTTTTTTTTCTGAGACAGCTATATGCTTAGAAAATTTTTTTATTGGTGCGATATTGTTAATCTTTCTTAAATATCCTACGTTCAACAATCAGAAAATTTTCATCAGGAAAGGAGTACTGTGGTAAAAGCCCAGTACTCACATTTCCCCCATTTTTCAGAAGTGACATTTCACACACAGGTGCCAAAAGTGAATTGGGGTCGGGGAGCAGGAACCTTTCAAGCTCATGGTTATATAGAATTTGTGGAAATTATGGTTTGACTGGAAAACAATCTTGTATACTTCCCAAAGAATCATGGACTTTTGAATAAAAAAAGCAGATAAATACAAATTTTCAGGATTTCATCCTTATTATTTTACCCTTTTGTCGTAATGTGAAATGCAGGTATTAAAGAAATTGACAGTAAGTTATTCATTATTGTGTGATTTTCTGCAACATCAGACAAACTTTACTTCATTCTTTGAATTGCACTGTGGGAAATAAAATTGTAAATACAAACAGAATATTTTAACAGTCCTTCCTTTGGGAGAGATGACTAGTCTTTCCTCTTAAAATTAAAAAAATAGAAGGTACTTACACTCTTGAAACCTAGTTCTCTTCAACCTAGAGCTGAAGAGAAGAGCAGAGGAAAACCAAGCGGCGCTTCGAGAAAGGGGGTTTCACAGCTTTGTTACGCCGCGGACTCGGGGGTTTGCCTCAAAGACTGAGCCAACCAATATGGCGGAAGCCCCACTTTTATCCCCTTTGGTTGCTTTGTCCGCCGAATATGATGGGTCCTTCCGGACCTTTCGTGGGCTTTGCAGGAAGCCCTGTGGGTTGGGATGGGGTCTTGAGACCATATCTAAGGGCCTGGCCTGGTGCCAGCACTGATAACCCCTCCGGGGTTGTGTGTTCATGGTTTATGGCCTCTGTAAATGTGAGCATTTAGGTAACAGGTTTTGCAAGACCAGTTTGTGGAGAAAGGGCAGTGAATTATAGGTCATCAAGAATGTGCATTAGATTGCTGGCACAGACTCAGATTGCTAGCCCCCCGAACATCAGGGTTACATTGGAATTAGCCTTTTAGTGCCACCTGCTGGTTATCATTTCCCGTCATGAGTAGGTAGATTTTAGTAAGCACAAAAAATAAAAGATGGTATGAATTGTTTCATGCTGTGGGAATGATTTCATGATTGGTATATGTTATTACTGTATGCCTAAAGTTATATTTAACTGAATAGCAATCAGAAATGGATTGTCCTAACAAAGTAATTAATACAGAGGCAGTGTTACTTATAAATTTGAAACCTAATTATTCGCCAAATGTTCGCTGTTGTGTCCACACCTCGTATTCCTTTCTAAAGCATTCACCCTAGAAATGGGTGAGCACCTGCCTGGTGCCAGGCACTGTGCTAGGAGCTGGAGAGGGTGTTGAACGAGACAAGCAAGATCTCTGCTCTCCTGGAACTGATGCTTTGGCGAGGACAGAGACAGATAATGAAAATGTCAGGGTCGGTGCTTTGATGGGTTATCTGATAGCAGCTGTTTCTGGGCAGTAGAGCTGTGTTCAGTTTGGTGGTCAGCAAGCTTCTCCAAGGAGGTGACATTCAAGCTGACGCTTCATGACCTGAGTGGCCAGCGTGGATGGGGGGCTGTGGGTGCGGGAGTTCTCCAGGCTGGAGTGCCACTGGCCAGAGGCCTTGGGCTTCAGCAGAGGAAGGCTCAGAGCCAGCCTGTGCCGGAGTGCAGTCGAGGGGCAGAGTGATGGGCAGGAGGTGCGGCAGTCCATGGTTTCAGAAGGTGATGTGGGGGAGACCCCAGGTACATGATAGCTGCAGGCACCTGTTCCTCAGAGCTAAGACTCCACGGTGGCACGGTGCCATCCTAACGTGTGCGTCACAGAGAGAGGAGCTTGCCAACCAGGTGAACCCATCCTGACTCACGTGACATAATACGTAGGGAAATTGTAAGTTTTAGCTTAGGTGAATTATGATGCATAAATTTAAATTAAATGATACCCGAAATATAACATTTCCTTGGTCTAGAAATTACATGATAAGGAAGTGGCCTAGAAGCTGAGGAGCAGATAAGCATTGACAGTGGACGGGGACTAATATATACGGTCAGTGTTAATGGCCGTAAGCTTGACTTTGATATTTCTATCTTAAAAACTCACCAAGTTACTTAATCCAAATGGTAAGAGCACGCGCTTTAGAACCCGAAGGGCCTGGCAGTGCTGGGGAGGGAGCCCGTTGGCCACTCTTCCCTCCCAGAGGCTCCTGGGAGTCCTGCTGGGCCGTTGCTGTCCTCGGTGCTCCGTGGGGGCCCTGGCTCTACGTCCTCGTCTGCGCCAGGTTCTCGGGCACAGACATTCCCGGTGACTTACTGTGGTTGGTGAGGGTTTAGCTCACTGCCTCCCTCGCTCCCGTCCCATTTTTGACAGTAATAGCGCTGTGTTTAATTCCTCTCGTGGTGACCATTAACACTTTTTAAAACTATATTTAAACTTCTTTTTCTCACTCGATCGCCTCTTGACAGCATCCCGCGCTCCCCACGCGGACGGGAGGAGGAGGTGGCCCTGCCCTCACCTCCATCTCACCTCCCCTTTGTCAGCGCTTCCTTCTCCGTCACACTTCCCTTTACCTTTTCACGGCAGAGGGCGTGGGCACCCACTCTCCTGCCATAGTTCAGGCTTTTCTGCTTTGTCTGCAGATGAGCTCTAAAAGCCGAGTACCAGCCAACACCATGCGATTGTGATGCGTACCTGACTGGCCAGCGCCGTGGCCAGCGCCCTCCCTGCCCCGGTCTGGCCTCACCGCTCAGACCGGGCTGCCCGTGTCCAGCCCAGTGGGGCTCCGTCAGGGCCTGAGTCACTGCATTTTCACCTGTTCCGTCTGTGCCCTGTTTCCCCTGCAGCGTGCCCCTTGTGTTTTTCTTAAGTTCGAGGGCTCTTTTCTTGGTGAGCATCATTTTGCACCCTCTGCTCCCTGTCGCCACTTTCCTCCCTGTTGCTGGGGATGTGCGCCCTGCCCTGGAGACTGCTCCCTGGGAGCTCCGGCTTGGGGCTGCTCAGGCCTCTGCTGTCCAGACCGCACAGCCGCTGGGCTCAGTGGTTTCCCCTGGACACGGGGCTGCTTCGCATTTCCCGGCTCACACCTCCCTCTCTCCTCACGTTGCTGGAGCGCCCTCCCCAAAGGGTGCCCTCGAGGGGACTCTTGGAGCACCCACAGTGTGGTCACCTTTGCCCTCAGCTGCTGGTCTGCCTGGAATAGAATTCCAGGTTCAAGATTCTGTCCCCTTAGCCCTGGGGGCTCTGCTTCCCGTCCTCAGCATCGCCTGCTGCTGCTAAGCTGCTGTTCCTCTCATTGCCACGGTCTGGAGGGGCAGCGGATACTCTGTCCTCAGAGTCGGCAGCTCCGGGATGGTCCCCATGTGTTGCTTTACCCACCTGCTCTCTGCGGAGCCTCAGGGCAGGCTCTGGCCCTGCAGCTCTGAGAGGTGTGGCAGGAGCCTGTGATGCTGGGCTCTTTCCAGAGCCCCTGTTAGCAGCTCGTGCACGACCTCGGTGTGTGTGTGTGGTGTGTGTGTGTGGTGTGTGTCTGTGTGGTGTGTGTGTGTGGTCGAGAACAAAGTCTTGCTTTATCTCTAATTGCTCCTTTTTCATAGCAACTGTTTTTGGCCTTATGGATTTAATATCTTTACTTTCTGAGGATCTTCAGTCTTATAAAGTTCAATTCCTAGAGTTATCTTTGCTTGATTTTTGTTCTTCCTCTTATTCTGTTCTTTATTTTTTAAGATGTAATTTCCCTCAATCATCCATTGACCTCATTGTCCAGCCATAAACTTACAGGAGAGAAAGCTCCATGGACACAAGTGGGGCTGCAAAACAGCAGGCTGGACTGGGGAGACCGTGGAGAACCAGCCCTGGGCTGGGGACCCCTAGTGCTTTGGGCT